ATCGCCATGACAACAGACTATGATGTCAACAGCATGCTAAAAAGAACCACATTGGTCAGAAAGGATTGTGTCATCCGAAGACAAAAATGGAATATTATTGAAAGCCAGAGGAACTGAAATTTGATGTGAGAAAAGAACATCTGGGCAGTATAAGGTAACAATGGGTCTGGAGCTTCCTTTGCTAGAACCCTTTACAAACCACCCAGGCACCTGATGAGATTGATTGCAGAGTGGGCTTGCCTGGAGGCAGGGGGATGGAGGAGATGCCTGCAGAAGGCCCTTGCAGTCCAAGGACCCTCAGACGTGGAAGACTCTAGGAAACGGGGAGGTTTGACCGGCTTTGGCCTCTGGAGAGTCCCAGGGAATTAGCGGCGATGCAACCTCCTTGCCCCTGAGCAGACCCGACAGTGGCCAGTGGCGGATGGAGTTTACCATGTCGCGTCTGGGAAGATTTTCAGAGATGCACACACGGTGACCCCCTCTGAGTCCCCTTTGCTGCCCTCTCCCTCACGAGCTTTGGGAGGAAGCTTTCCTTCGATTTTACCTCGGTGAAGAAGCGGATCCCCGCCATCAGCTCTGGCTCCACAGCACCGTGCCGCGTGTCCACCTGCCTCTCCTTGGCTGGACCGCCCCAGTGGAGGGCAAGCAAGCTGGGGCTGTGTCTACAGGGAGCGCGCAGGGGACGCTGCAGAGGACGCTCGTTCACTCTGCTCCTGTGCAGACGGCCGAGAGGAGAGGAGACTGAATCCACCGCAGCTTCCCGGCAGGCAGCAACGACAGCATGTGAGTCTGGAGCCTCATTAACCCTTGCGCCCACGGGAGCAGAAGGGGCTCCGAGAAGTAGGCTGACTTCAGCCCAGGGCCTGTGTTCCGGCGGGAGCCCAGGGGGCAGGGACGACTGTCTTCCTGCAGGTGGGGCTGGCGTGGGTTTCTGCCGTGCAGACGGGAGCACAGCCCCAGACTCCTGGCCCGCCCAGCTGCTCTGTGTCCTTGGCTCAGTGAGGTCGGACTACCTGAAAGTTGTACACCTGCTCCCTGCATGCCCGTCTCTCCGGTTCAGCCTTGTCTCCTCAGGGACCTGACCTGGGAGGATCCAGTCTCCGCTCGCATATTATTCTTCCGACACTCTGATGGCAGCATTCTGCTGAATGCTAGGAAGCTGCAGGCCCCCTGGGCACCTGGAGACCCCCTGCCACCACCCAGGGAGAGCCCCTCCCTCATCCCTGGTGCCAGAGCCAGTGGGGGAGGGAGCCAGCGTTGCCAGCCCTGCTCACCCTGGAGCTCGGCCCCAGCGCCACAAGCAGGACCAGAACCTGAGGACTCAGTTCTCAGAGGCATGGTAGGAGCAGGGTGGCTGGCAGGTCCTCTGAGGCTGCCGAACGGGGGACAGAGCTGCCCAAAAGATGTTGAAGTTTCGGGCTGATCGACGGGTCAGGTAGGAATCTCCTCGGTGGACAGCGAACCGGGTTAAGTGAGACAGCGGGCTGAGTTGGCAGCTCATTGGATCCGGGGTTTCGGAGTGGGGGCCTGCCCGACGTGACCTCGAGAAGGAAAGTACTTAGGTCAGTGGTTGCTGCATTGCAGTGCTTATGAAGGGAGGCTATTTTGAAATTGGTGGCGCCAGGATAGAGAGAGGACGTCCCTTGTAGGGGTCGCTGGGTAGGAGAGCCTGGGGCAGAGAGAAAGTCACCGTGCCCTGAAAGGCCTGCACCAGCTGACAGGAGAGGTGTGCTTCTGGGTGTGTCTGTAGCAGTGCCTGCAGAGTCAGCTCAGGGAGCATGCAGAACAGAAGGGGACTCGGGGGTGGGGGGCAGGTGCCCTGTGCCACTGGGAAAAAGCAGAGAACTTAGTGCCTCAAGAACCTTGGTTCTCATGGCCTGCCTGACCCCTAGGCGGGGCCGGGCCGGGGATGAGGGTGCATAGAAGCAGCTACTCTTCCTTGTAAAGACCTCCTGCAGGGGCTGGCCCCATGGCCGAGTGGTTAAGTTCGCGCGCTCCGCTGCAGGCGGCCCAGTGTTTCGTCGGTTCGAATCCTGGGCACGGACATGGCACTGCTCGTCAGACCATGCTGAGGCAGCGTCCCACATGCCACAACTAGAGGAACCCACAACGAAGAATACACAACTATGTACCGGGGGGCTTTGGGGAGAAAAAGGAAAAAATAAAATCTTAAAAAAAAAAAAAAATGAGTCTTTAAAAAAAAAAAAAAAAAAAGACCTCCTGCAGTTAAGTTGAAGAGAGCATCCTCGTTGGACCTAGGAGGGAGGAGGGAATAACGTTTGAGAAGTGGGGAGTGGGTTGTCAGTAGGCTAAGAGTCAGAACCCAGGCGTGTTGGACACAGCCAGATTTAGGGTCACGGCCAGCAAGCCTGGGCTCCAAAACCCAGCTTTCCACATAGGCTGTGGCTCCTCTCACGGTGCTTCTATCCTACCTGTCCTTGGATTCGGTCTAAACCTGACTGGTTTGGAAACTGAAAAAATACCCTTTAATATTATCTTCAGCTTCAGCAGACAGACCAAGGGCTTGGCTGTGTCCTGGGCTATTGAAAGGGGGTCTCCAAAAAGCTATTTTCCTTCTCTGGTGCAGCCGAAGGGAGGAAGCTGAGACCTCTTTCCTCCGGTGCTACCTGGTCTGCTGCTGGCCAAGCAGAGCGCTGGCCCTTTGCTGTGGGAGTGCACGTGTGGCCCAGTGATGGGACCCCCAAGCTTGGTGCAGCCTCAGTAGGCTCTGTCCAAGCACCTGCTTATTGGGGTCAACTGAACCTGCTCTGGGCTCTCGAAGTATCTCCCAAGAGGGATGGGTGAAGAGGACCGTAAAACTATTCCAGCCTCTCATTGGC